CTGCCTGCTGTTTATGAAAGTAGATATGTTCGTGGACAGACTTACTCCCCTGGAAATTGCCGGCAGCAACCCTCGGATGAATTTCGTTCTGTGTTTTAATAAACTGTTAGAGCCAGCGCTGTGAGCAGATGCCTCTGGGCTCTCTGTGAGTCATGGTCGGTCTGTTTAACAGTGCTCATGCTAGATGGAGGACCTTGAAAGTCCTGGTAGGAACAGAGCTGTTGGAATATTTTATTTTTCATCTTAGATAAAAGCAATATGAGTGTAGATGTACTGAATCCAACTGTTTTCTGCTAATGTGGTCATAAAATCGTATTCAGTGTTTCAGTTTGTCCATCACAGGTAAATTCTGCAGTTTTTTTTAGATAGAAAAGCAACAATTGTCCCTTCTTTAAAAAAAAATATATATATATATATATATTAAAAGAAGGGACAATCTTTAGATTCATGAATACACTTGGATTTTTTGAGCAACTATCATTTTTTGCTATCATAAAAACATATTCTGCCAAAGTTTGATAACAATCGCTTTGAAAATTCAAGTGTTTCCATAGCTTAGAATGAGTTGTTTCTAATTGCATAGGTGTGGGTTTATCCAGTGGAAGACGGCATGTTTCATCACCGTCTTAACTATAGTAGTTGAACCATGTTGGCCATATAAGTTTTCCCTGTATATGAACCGGTTTTGTTGTGGAGGAGGAACATAAAACAAGCAAAGTTAAGGTCGATGTTTCTTCTGCTACTATAACCATTATATTTACTAAATTCATGTATTTAGTAACACAATAATAACAAAAAACGGCTAATGACTCCCTCTCTTTTCTATTATGTTTATACTGACATACCCCTCATCTTGTCTGTGGAGTATCCATGGGCTTCTGCTTCTTATTAATGTTTATAGAGTGGCCCTCAGCTGGCATCTAAGTTAAATACTCACTGCTGCCACCTAGGGGACTAAAGTATGAAACAGTAGAAAATAGTAACAACATTTTGATTGCAACACGCCAAATCCAAATTTTCGTCCACTGAGATTAGATTAATGACTAATGATGTCCCTCTGAATTAGTTTCTTCTAAACATGTCGTGGAGTCTAATGGCTGTAAATCAAAGGTGTTTTAAATGTCCTCTTCACCTCTTCATTTTAAAAATGCCTGGAGAAAAGCATCCACTCCTCCTAACCTGTAAGAACAACATTAGCCTGATTTGTGTGGCGATACAAACAAATCATGCTCATAATATTATCATAGTAACTAGGGCTGGGTATTTTCGCCAAAGTTCTGAATTGATTAGATTTTTATTCATACAGTTCTAAATCGATTAATTTCGATTCGATCTGTTTTTACAATAATGAAAGTGGTTCAACTGTGTTTCATGTATTTTGTTTTTTTCCTGTCACATTAAACACAAAGTACAAACGTGTAAATCAGACAGTTTAAACCTGAGATGTGAACAAAACTGTCTCATAACTGTAAACTTGTTTGTGAAAAGTGAAAAAGTGAAGCCTCACTCGAGCAAGCAGACGTGACACAGCAGACATTCATGAGCTGCATAATCTTCAATGCACAAACCATATTTGCAGCGTTGTCTGTAACAACTACAGGGTGTTTGCTGGTCAGCACCCATTTGTTAATGTCTTCAGTCAACCTATTGGCTATATTTGCAGCTGTCTGGCTTGAAGTCATCTTGAGAGCATCTTTCCTGCTCATTTGAATGTGAACGTCACACGGGTCACTATAAAATGAATCGATCTCATTCACTAGACATCGATTTTGCAAAAATGTAAAGTAATCGATTTAAAATAGATTTTTTTTACCCAACCCTAATAGTAACCATTACTACAAATTAAAATAAGAAAAGCTGTTTCTCAATCTGTCTACTTGTGCGTTCTCATGTGCTCGTGAAACGTCATCAGCCCTAGTACTGTTCCAATATTACAAGAACAGCAGACCGAGAACGAACAAAGTCCCCGGATGTCCCCCCTCCCTATTTACCCAGCATGCATCAGAGCAGACTTGTCCGTTCTTGAGATTGACAGCTGTCCCAGCATGCACTGCGGCAGCAGCAGCTTTCAATGGAGTATTAAGTTAAAAGTTCTCTTTTCTGTTGCTGTTGTTCAATAAAAGTTTTATTGCGTAATTTAAAACAGAATTTCCAAAGTTGAGACGACCGCTGGGTAACGGCAGCCAGGGCTAACCGCAGCCCGTCTGCAGCAACTCTCTCTCTGCCAGCCGTGTGTGAAGAATTATTGCTCTGACGGCAAGTTTTTTTGTTTTATTTGGCGAAATGTTCATTTGATTTCTGTTTATCTGACTGTGTTCATTATTATTCCCCCAATAAATGAAAAGAGTAAGAATTTATTATTTAGAGATAATTAATAACAGGAGGTGAAAATGCAGCTTCAGATGAGCCGAGCTTGTGGGGACATCACGAGTACGCTTCTGTTCCAATTGACCCATATTTATGCTGCGTGCTTCCTGTCTCACAGAGTCAATGGCGTAACTATCGGTAAGCAGAGACTGCAGGCGCTTAGGGGCTCCTGACCTCTTAGGGGCTCCTTCACTGACATCTGGTTGGCCCCCTATGCAATTGTGGACTAGGACGTCTAGTTGCAGATGTAATGGTCCGAAAAATTACTCTTAAACCTACCTGATACCAGAATGACTTACCTGACCTTATTTACACCGCAACACATGGCAGATTTCAACATGATGGTGAGCCGTTTAAACATGACACCAATAGCAAAGCAGACAGTGGTACTTTGAATTACTATGTTAATAACTGTGTATAGTTCATTAGACAGTTGGTAAAAAAATACACTCATATAATATGTTTCAAACCGCAATAAAGATCTTAAAAGAATTAGAGTATTTTATTTTTTACAATACGACTTGGAATTATGGGTAATCCAGAGTGTAGATTAAAACCATAACCGTTAAACCACACATGTACAATGTGTTAGTGACGATGGATACCAACATGAGGTACTTGCGCAGATTCCTGAAAAGAAAAAGCAAAGATGATGTTGATAGATGGAAAACTGCTGGGTACCATGAACGTTGAAAAACATACTTGGAAATATGGCTGTCAGTTAAATGCACGAAAACGCAATTTTCTTTTAACGCCTGTTATCAGTTTCATAGCCTGATAACCTTAAGTGCTTCCGTATTTTTGGGAACTTGTCTGCCTATTTAAGCGGATAGGTTCACTTTGCCCCCCCCTTCTAATCAATAGATAATCTACAGAGAAAAGAGAGATTCAGTATAAACATGGAGATTTTAACTGTTGTCGGCAGAGCATTAAAAAAGCCTCTTGTTCCTCCAGTCTTTATTGTGCCATTTAAAATAGTTTACTTACTCTCAACGGCAGCATTAGAGTCTGTTTATTTAAATTCATATGTAGAAGTTCTACTAACTTTAATGATGTTAGGTTTTAATAAAAGCTATTATTCCTAGCCTACTAAATAAAGAATGTTTATTTATTCTTCTGTTCTTTTACGAATATATTTGAGTGGACATCAGTTTTTTTTTTCAAGTCTGTCTACGGTTCTGTGCATGACCAGTCTCCTAACATTATCTGCTTGTTAAAAATTCACCATGAGCATTAATAACTTCACATGATCTCATTCCTTTGCAAGTATTTGTCTTTGGGATTCTATATTTAACAGAAGCAGTTTGGAACCAAGAACATTTCTCTATTATCTTACTAAAAGCCAAACTTTTTATTATCTTCTAGATGCTATAGCAGTTATACACATCTTTAAATAATATACTATTAAATTTGTTTTTCAAGTATTATTCGTTTCAGTAAAAAACATATCAAGAAGAAAATTATGCGTTTATGATCAAATTGTTTTTTTTCCTTCATATTTATGTTTTTATGGTACAATATAGCTTTTTTCTAATTTAGGGGGTGATCTTTTTATATCATGTTCCCATTTACTTTTATTTTTTTTTAAGTCTGTAATTTAATCCCAGCAATGCTTGATGTTCCTGCGTCTAATAGAGGAGTATAAATGACATCCTGTCTCCTTGCCAGACTCTGAATCAGTCCACTGTGGTTGCTGGCATCGCCAAGGAAACCAGTGCGTGATCGAGCTGCTGATGCTCTGTCAGAGTGGGCTGTGGGCACCCCGCTGAACATTCAAACAGAGGAGCATCACATCAATTTACCCCTCTATGATTAAATAAACGTTCTGCCTCATTGGAACGTTTTTCAGGTCTATTGAAGGAAAACTGCATCTTAAGCTGAATTTAATGCAGCATCACTGAAACTTGTAGACTTCTGTCAGATCGTGCTGCAGTCTGCAGGAACACAGGCTTAAAACGAGCAGCTGGAGCTGGCTATCTAGCTCTGGGCCGGCCTTTTCTCCACCTGTACACAAAGGCTGCAGACGTCTACATGAAAAGCTTTCAGACCACATCTGCATTTGGTCACGCTGTCTATCAGAATATCAGACAGAGTTAGATTACTGCTGCAAAACACATTTATGGGGTGTATAAGATTGTTTTTTTCCCCTTCTGATTCTCTTAAGAGACAGGATCAGCATCATGAAAGGATGTTGATTTGCTCCCACATTTTTCTAAACGAATAGCTCTGACAAACAGTGCAGCAAGGACAGACGCAGATCTGCAGTTTAGCATTGATTTCTGGGTTCAGACTCATCAGAGCCGGAGCAGCTGATGAGATCATGACAGGCAGCAGAGCAACAAAGCCGTGGGCTTGGAAGCGGAAAGTAAACATGCCTTGAAGAAGAGCAACTGCCATCTGGCTTATGACTCAATAAAAGCAGGGATTAGATTGCTGTTGCTGTAGGTTAATAGATGATGGATGAAGAGCCCTGATTGTAAACAACTCCACTGAGTGTAAAAACAAGGTATTTGTTGTGGTTACTTAAACAGAATCCTTGCAGAATAACATGAATGTGATTAACAGATGCCTGCAGATAATCCTTAAAGCAGATTTGGTGATGTTGGTTTGTTGATTTCCTCTTCGCTCTCCAGGCAACAATTGGAATCGACTTCCTGTCCAAAACGATGTACTTGGAAGACCGAACGGTAAGGACCTTCGTTACGTCTGTTTTATTGTCCTAAAAGAGACATGAGGTGTTGGATTTGCCTTCAAGCTGCATCAGAAGCAGCTGTCTTCTTAGATGGCTTCCTGGTGTTAATCTGAACAATAATGTGAATGCATTCAGACTGCTGAGCCGAGCTGAGGGAACAGCATGTCATTTTGTTGTGCTGCGTAGGTGGATACAGTGAAATCTGCTGTTTTCCTGTCTGCTCATCTTTAAAAGCACTAAAGCATTGGAACTGATAGCCTTTTTTTCCTCATGAATAAAGCTTGTAGTGAAGCTAACGCCGTGCGTATGACTGGCTGAGTGTGATGAAGGGAGCCAGCTGTTTCCAGGCTCTCTGACTGTCTCCATAATCTTCCCCTCCTCAGCGTTCTCTCTCTGAACCCCAGGTGAGGTTGCAGCTCTGGGACACAGCTGGACAGGAGCGCTTCAGAAGCCTCATCCCCAGCTACATACGGGACTCCACCGTGGCCGTGGTGGTCTACGACATTACAAGTCAGTGCCCTTGGCGACAGCTTTCTGGTTTCACTCTTTGCTCGTTATGTGGGGCTCCAAATGATGGATTTTTACAGAACATTTGTTTTCACTAAAACTAATAGTTTAGATATTAGAAACCCTCATATTGTAAACATTTTTAACTTAGCAAAAGACTGCAGCTGAAATTATAGTAGATCTTAGAAGAGCTCAAGGGTTTGACTGCAGATTAATCATATACCCCATTTACCCTACCCTTGAAAAACCATGCCGAGACCGGTCCGAGCTCAGTAACTGAGATAACTTATCGTGTGTAAATGGAAAGCAAACTCAATTGAACAGAGCTAGACACAACCGAGCCAAGATAACTGCAGACCAGTTCCAGAGGTGGGCTCGGCTCGGTTTTTCCCTGGCTCGGTTCTCTGATAAGGAGCGCATGAGCACGTGTCATCCCCGTCTGGCTGCACATCCGATTCACACTCCATTCCAGTAGTTGGCGGTAATGCCCCTCCAGAAACAGAAGAAGAAAAACTTCTTCTTCAACTATAAACAACAATCGAAATCTTCTCCACGCAACATTTTAAACAATGGCATTTTAAATAATAACACCGATGTACCGCAATAATAATCAAGCATAACTTTCTGAATGTGACGGGCGTTGCCATTTTGATTTGCTTGATTCCCTCCTTCTTCGTCTTCTTCTTCTTGTGTTTTATGGCGGTTGGCAAACAACTTTTGCTGCATTACCGCCACCAACTGCTTGCTTTCCTCCTTCAATACTGGCAGTAATACCGCAGATCATCACTAGGAGGCGAAGAGTCGAGGAACCGAGATAGCGGGATGTGTAAACGGTCGTCAGGACCGAGCTTGACCTGGTTAACTGATCCGAGCTTGGACCGGTCCCGGCATGGATCGGTTTTTCAAGGGTAGTGTAAATGGGGCTTTAGCTTTTTCAAACAGGAAGTATGATTGGTTTTCTACATCATCCGCAAAAAAGTTGAGAAATGTTCTAGGTTTGAATATCTATCTGAAAAAGAAAACCATTTGAATACTTAAAAAAAATTTAATTCTAATTAAATGATTTCTACTTTAAGCTTGAATGACTCCTTTTATATCTTTAGTTGGTTATATCACGTCTATTTTTCTTAAATTACCCAATTTTTTTTTTTTTACTTCCTGACTGTCAGCTTTAAATTTAGGTTGAACTGGACCTGTGGTTCTTTAACTGGGTTTGCTTAAAAAGCCATACACAATAAAATGGTATTTAAAATAAATCTACAAATAAAGAGACCTTGGTTTAGAAATAAGAATAATCTAACCCAAGTATGGAGTAGTGTGGAGTTTTAGGATCAGAAAGTGTAGCTGACCTAAGCTGTGTCTGATGATAAAGTTTCTCTTTAGCTTCAGAGTTAGTCACCTTCTTTGTGACTTGATCCTGTGTAAAAAGATCTTGCATGTTGAAGTGGACCCGCAGTTCTTAGGGTTTGATATGAAAGTGTTTGCTTTAAACTAGGGCTGCAACAACGAATCGATAAAATCGATAAAAATCGACTTTTAAAAGTGTTGGCAACGAATTTGATCATCGATTAGTTGTGTCGCGCGATTATTGCGTCATCCGCCGCGCCGTCATCACTGCCTCTTGACTGAAAGAGGAAGAAAAAAAAATATGGCAGAGCGAGTCAGCGCCGCAGGTGCAGTGTTGCCAACTCAGCGACTTTTCAGACCCCTCCAGCGACTATTTTTCAAAAAAGCGACTAGCGACAAATCTGGCGACTTTTTTTCGGTGTCACTGGCGGCTTTTGGAGACTCTAACGTGAAAGCATGTATCGTTCCTACTCTGCCGTGGGGCGCCTCCCCCACCCCAACCGCGTTTTCCCGCAGGAGTCCCTCTCAGCGCTGCAGTCAGAGCCTCAGCGTCCAGACTGCAAATGAAGCGCGCATGCACCGGGATTGACGGCGCAAATTGATCACAATAATTAAAATAGCCTGCGCTTTGTAAAGTGAAAAAAGTGATAACATGCAACTTTTTTCAAAAGAAATTAACATGGCACGGAACCACCATGTTTGTTTGGTTTTAAAGTGGGGAAACGTAACGTTAGTTTCTCAGGTAGCTCATCTGATGCTTTCCTTACCGTGTTAGTAGGTTACAGACAGTGATAAGGTTGGCTACTTATTTTACTTTTAATTTCATTTGAATTAGCTTAAGCAGCGTTTATATTTTCTTTATAAATAAATTAACTTGCAAATTATGAGGGCAAGGCTTTTAAAGTTTAAATCTTCTGGCAAAGATAAAGAAAAGAAGATCCTGCAATTTATGGAAGTAAAGCAGAATAAAATCCAGAAAGATCAGTAATATGTCAATTAATTATATTTGCCACATTCCCATGTAAGTATATCTGTCTTTGGAAGATGTGTTTTTTAGCACCCCTAGTTCTCTCATTTTTATTCCAAATACAATTTATAATTTGAATCACAGGGCTATTTTTATCTCTATGGTTCAGTATTTTCTCAAGCAGCAACTTTAACTGCTATACTTTCCTGTCTTAAAAGGCCGAACTCTTCTAGTCTAAAAAAACTCATTTGTTGAAATGGGGGGGCCTATTGTTTGAACCCCTTAGGGGCTTTTAAAAAAAAAGTCTTTTTTTGCACTTTATGAAACAAAGTACCCTATATTTTGTGGATGTACAGCTACATTTCTCATGTAAGTTTGCGTAGTTTTAACACAAACATTTATTTTTCATATTGCACCAGTACAGTTAATGAGCAACCTGTACTTGTGTGCTTGTTTGTTCTGTCTAAAATGTTTATTTTGGAATAAAGAGGTTAATATAAAAAATATTTTTTGTCCGATTCATCGATTAATCGAAAAAATAATCGTCCGATTCATCGATTTTTAAAATAATCGTTAGTTGCAGCCCTACTTTAAACCCTCTTATCCAGATCTTATCTTGAAATTACAAATTTAATCACCCCTAATTTAATCTCTACTGTACTGACATGTAAAGAGAATATTCACTGGTGTCAAAAAACAAATCTGCACATTGATTTAAATCTTACCTTCTGCAGCATTAGAGGAGAAGTTATTTAATTTCAGTTTATTCATATAGAGCTAATTCACAGCGTATGTCATCGCGAGGCCCTTCAGTGTCAGTCAGTGCAGATATGTTACCCCATAGGATAGATGAGCTCCCTAAGGATACTGCCACTGGCTAATCATTAGCCGTTAATATTCCTGAAGTTGACATCATCGTTATGTAATTATTCTAAGCTATAATTTATACTTAATATGAACTAATTTATCTAGATTTAATCCAGGGGTGATGATCAACTGAGCTTTTAGCTCAAGTATTATGGGTTGTCGTGTCCTAAGCTGGATCTAAATGCCATCCAGCTACATCTTTTAAAATTAAACTACTTTTTTTATCTTATAAAGGAGGATTTTTCTTTGTTTTCACACTCCTGATAATTTTTGTACACAAAAGCAGGTTTTTAATTAGTGCTAATAAGATAACTAAAGTACTTGTTGCGTTTTCTATTATGTTCTAAAGTTTCTGCTAATTTCATCACTTTGAATTCACTTTTATCACAATATTCCCTCTTTTTCTTATTCTTTTATTATCTTAATCAGTCCTGCTACTAAATAATTTTACACAAACAGCATGAAAATAAGGACCCTCGTTATGGGCTCTGTATTATTTGTATGATTAAAAACCGGGAAAGTGATTTGAATATACAACATAAAATTAATTTATCCAGTTGATTCAATTGCTTTTCAAACCCTCATTATGGGCAACATGACGAGGGAATTGCTTTGTGGAAGACTTTTGAATTAAAAGGGTATGTAGTGATTTATTATAGTGTTTAATTCACGCTTAATTATTTTGACTGTCTTATAAAAACTGTCTGTTCCCTCTGCTTGCATTAATGGTTACTCCACTGTCATTTGTTCCAGTATCTCCAACTGAGGCCCATTACAATCATTCAGCCTTAATGGTTTGCTTGGTGATTACTGGTCCACACTTCTCAACCACAGACTGACTAAAATGTTGCTAGATATATCCGGCACCATAGTTCTCATATTAGTTGATATATTTGTTACACACAGGGATTTAGAATGCAGGGAAGCAGATTCTATATATGAGGTCAGACTGTTCCGACTTGACAGAAGAAAACTCATTTCATAATGTTTCCAGGAAAAAAGCCAGCCTTTATCATAATCCTGTCCAAGAAGGGGAGTCGGTCCTCAGTGTCATGCGCAATCGGAACTGCCAGCTACAGCGGACATGTCAAAGGGATTGTTTAACGAGCTGCAGCCAAGCTTGATAACTTTCTAGGGATTTGATATACCGGCACAAAATAGGGCTCAGTTTTAAAGCACGGGGAAGATAAGGCATGGGGTTTCTAAAATAGCTTCCAAATAAAATATCCAGCCCTTCCTACTACTAAACCCCTGATTATGCCGATACCAGTTACCTTCAGAATGAACATGAAAAAAACACCTGTGCTTGATTTGGTGTCAGCATATATGAAGTATTAAACAGAGATGATAGAGGGAGGGATAGAAGGATGGATGGATGGATGGAGGCTTTTACAGGGTTTCCATGGGTCGTTCAAAATCATTAAAAGTAATCAAATTATTATTATTTATTTATTGAAAAAAAATTTAATTAAATAAAAAAAAGTTTTTTTATAAAAACAATTTCATCAGATAATTTATATCGGATATAAGTTCTGCATGTTTGCATGGAGTTGCTTCCAGTTGATCATATGTTTGGAAAAGAAGCTTGAGGTGGGAAAAAAGCTAGACAATGGGAAAAAAGAGGAATTCGGGACATGGCTGCAGCCTGTAGACTCTGAAGAAGATAGATAGATAGATAGATAGATAGATAGATAGATAGATAGATAGATAGATAGATAGATAGATAGATAGATAGATAGATAGGTATCTAGATAGATAGGTATCTAGATAGATAGGTATCTAGATAGATAGGTATCTAGATAGATAGGTATCTAGATAGATAGGTATCTAGATAGATAGGTATCTAGATAGATAGGTATCTAGATAGATAGGTATCTAGATAGGTATCTAGATAGGTATCTAGATAGGTATCTAGATAGATAGATAGATAGGTATCTAGATAGATAGATAGATAGATAGATAGGTATCTAGATAGATAGATAGATAGATAGGTATCTAGATAGATAGATAGATAGATAGGTATCTAGATAGATAGATAGATAGATAAATAGATAGATATGAGGGTCATGGGTACTTAAAATGATTTCTAAGACCATTAAAAGGGAATTAAAAAGCGTTAAATTGGAGTTACTCATTCCTGTATAAACCCTGATTTAAGGATGAATAGAACAGATACAGAGTATTTATGTTGTAAAAACACAGTACAGTACTTTGTTTATTTTCTTATGATATTTTTATACCATTTTCTTAGGTCGGTATTGTGGGACCACTTCTGCTCTAACCTTTTGCTGCTGTAACACCACAATGTCCCCATTGTGGGACTATAAAGGGATTTTCTTTTCTATTCTATTCTCTAGAAGAAGGGAGGGATGGAGGCATTTATGGATGGATAGAAAGGGATGTTAGATGAGGAAGGGATTTATGAATGGAATGATGAATTAACTGATGGATGGATGAGGGATGATGAAGAGATTGATGGATTGACAGAGGAATGGATGGATATAAACAACATTAACCTTTGCAAAACAATTGGAATGAAATAATCCACTTTTATCTATGACATTTTTTGTTATAGATATGACACTTAGGCGAGGATCTGCTGAGGATCATTATTTTAACTCTTTGTAGCAGTCACCATTTTTCCCAGCAGTTCCAGTAATACTCATGTTTGTCATTCTCCCATCTGATAATGGTAGCTGAGAGAACAGCACCAGTGGGGCCGGTGTATAACCTCAGCTTTCTAGACTAATTTCACTCTGCTTCATCCCTACAGATGTCAACTCCTTCCAGCAGACGTCAAAATGGATTGACGATGTGAGAACAGAGAGAGGAAGTGATGTCATCATCATGCTCGTCGGCAATAAAACAGACCTGGCAGACAAGAGGTATATAGATGAGGCCTAGCTTACCGCCTAACTTTGGCATCTGCTTTTATGTACTGACACCATGGAAACAGTCTGTCTGAAGGCAGATTGAGCTGAACACAACAGAGCACAGCTTTTATACATCTATGTATCGCTAAGGTGGAAACGATCCCCTTAGGATGAACGTAGATATAATTTAATGTCACAGTCAGCACAGGAAGATGCGTGAGAATCATTGTCTGTAATGGATACAGCCATTAGACTCGCAGAACGAAACTAAACGTCATTTAATTGTTGTTATGTTTGTAGCTCAGCAGATTCTACTGTCTGACCACCTGCTTAGAAATTAGACAATTATGACTGAGTCAGTTAACATCTAAACTACTGGATTTTCTTTCCTCCTCAGCACATCCTGCACAATTTGTATGGTTGTCAAAAAAAATAAAAAATGGAGGAGAAAATGCTGACGTGACCAGATTCTTAATGAAGCCGGGGTAGAAAAAAAAGAATCGATTCTAAATGTACATTATTAGGAGGGCAGGACAAAACGCAGAGGGAGCTGAACCATTAAATAGCTCATGTTCTCTTGATTAAATGTGTTGATGTGTACAAAATGTAGGCCACAGATGGATTTCACACACAGGTGTAAATGTAAACGATGCTTGATATGTTGGTAGTTGTGGCGTTAATATGTCTGAAGTTGGATAAAATCTGATAATAAGGCAGTGAATCAAGAAAATTGTTTTGCTTTGTTGCAGTTGTGTTATTTAGTATTTCACATTTTATTTAAAGAATGATTACAGAGCACTTCTCATTCACGGAGGAACAAGATACTCAGATTAAAGAAAATAAATTAGTGATACACAAAACATACAGTTTAAATAAGGAGTTATTTGATTGCTCTTTGCCTTGTACTGAGGGGCAGTTTTTGGAGGCTGGAATATGAGGACTGGATAAGTCAAGAATGTCCTTAAGGTAGGAAGGGGCTGTTAGTAGAGTTCCTTGAATATCTGAAAGAGGACTTTAAAGGGGCTTAGTCACATACTATGGGTCTGATCTTCAATGATTCAGAACAATGGGTGCTAAATTGCATGTGGGTTTTTTTTTTTTTTTTTTTGTATGTGCAATAAATGGCCATGTAAAAGGTGGTCTAAAAAGATTTCTGCACCATGTTAAGACATACCGGTACATATAATATAACTAACCACAATATAACCACAGTATATCTGTTTTGGAGTTCTACAGGCAGTTTGAGACTAGCTGTAAAAGAAAGAATACTTTCCAAGACAGGTGGAGGTAATGGTGATAAAATGATTTAAAAAAGATTAATTATTACACCAAATAATATTTTGAAATTAGGTAGACAGGAAGTGGGTTTAGAGGGGGGGAATAAATGCAGCAAAGGTCTCCTGTAACAGCCACATCAAGGACCAAACCTTCTGTACATGGTTGGCGTGCTCAACTCATGCTCCACAGCCACTCCTATAATAATAAACAATATTTTAGAGCAATTTGCATAGCCATCTTTAAGTGCTATGAGTAAGTAGCTCTTAGAGGGCCACTTGTTTCCTAACAAAAACTAAAAAATAAAGCAAAATAAATTGTTTCATAGTTTAATTTTATATCCTTTGTACGCAACTGAAAGAAGTCATATAAATAAAAATAAAATTAAAAAAGCATCACTGAAATTTGTAAAGTCAGTCGGGTGCTCCTTCAGGCTAACTGCTGTTTAAGATTTGAGTCGTTATGCGATCGTCAGACCCGACGGAGGAAAATGAAGGATGGAGACGGGTAACGTGGAAATGATGCTTTTGTGTTTTTAGAATGAGAGATTGCTGTCAAAGGTGGATCCACTTGTTGAGTTGTATGAAGATTTTGTGACATATTTCTGTCCAGTCTTTAAAACACTGGATTTAGTGTCACTGATCTAGAGAAAATTACCTTCATCCATGTGCTGGTGAAGGTTCTCAGTCATCCAGGTCATAGTCATTCCAAAAAAGAAAATGAAAAACAATCCTCTGGACTTTGTTTCCAAGTTTGAAGACGTTTCGCTTCCCATCCAGGCAGCTTTTTCAATTCAAAATGTCAATTCCAAATTCAGTTTGAGGTTTCAAACTCGAACTATTCTGGACATTTTTAATTTTCTTTTTTGGAATCACCTTTGTCCATGGTTTAATGTCCTTGTTATAGTCTGTGGGTTGGTTATGTGCATCTGGTGCCACCTATAAATATAAAGAAAAAATCAAAAACTAAGCTGAGAATCTTGGGTTCTGCCCTTTTAGGACTGAGTAGGTTGCATTTATAAAACTGCTATGCATCAATAATCCATTAGACTAGTGTTATACTATTTAGCTAGCTGCATTCTATAGCCTCACTTATATATTATACACGCTGCATCAGCAAGAAAACAATCAGGTGGTAATTTATACTTATGTGATGGATTCTCACTGTACACTATAGCTTTATTAGATTCATGCTTTACAGTTCTCCATATTTCTCTATATTGTCCTCATTAGTATTATACCGATGCTGGAAAGAGATTCCATTATTGCATTCTTCCTCTGAACGATGGAGCAATACCAAATGTCAGGTTTGCTGCAGGAAAATCTATCCTTGTGAGGTGAGTAATTTTATTGGTACAAAATGCATTAATTTCCCCAGCTAGGTCCACAGTTTTTGAGCTGCTGACAGAAATTCCCCTGGCGTTTTTTGCTCCAGTATGTCAGGAAACTGAGAGAAATCAGGAGTGCTGATGACGGCGGTTTTTCTCGGATGTGTCCCGCTGGAGCTGCCAATACCACTTCCATAACAACAGATGTATTGAGAAGCTTTGGTTTCAGATAACAGGGCTGCTCCTGGTCAGGCCTACATTACTGAATACGTTTTTAACCTATTCTGTTAAATCTAATCAGAGAGTTAGATTTACTTTTTTTTTTTTTTTTTTTACTTCTTAAGCTGTTTCCCTTTTATTTAATGATTAGTTAAATTCAGTTGAAGTTTCATCGACTCTTAATGTTGACTGAATATTAAAACCTCTGTTTACTGCATTAAGATCCCATCAGCTTCCTTCCTTAATCTCCTTTGTGAAGGGAAATGAGCCTCATAGCTGCATAAACTGATCAAAGTGACAGATTTTTAGCAGAATAAAGGTGAAAAAATAGAAGTGTTGTGTTCGAAGTAAATGTTTTGTCACCGGATCGTTTTAAATCCTATTAATGTGCAGATTATTTAAGTTGCTGCAGAGGAAAGCCACATTAGTCAAAGCAGCATTGCTGCAAATTTTTATAATGAGCATTTAGCTTCCTGTGCCACAGCAGGTGATCAGACCATGCTTAGTTTGACTCCGGCATCGTTTTTGTCTCTCTATCTTTATGTTGCTTGTTTTTAATGTCCCTCTGTAGGGAATTTTGATGAAAAAAAAAGGCAATTATTTTCAACTATTGCGAATATAAGTGAATAGAAACCCAAAATCAATTTCAGCTGGTCTCTTCTTGCTTTGGTTTTGTTCACTGGGGTGTGGTGCCGTTTTTGACAATTCTCAGTGCTTAGGGGAGCAGAAACAGTCTAGAAGCTGCAGATCTGCTGGAGCTCAGCATGAGGGGAAACTGGTGTGCACCAGCAGGAGGCGGCGGCTGAGCCCAGCTAACTGGAAAGAGGCTTGATAGTGGGCTTGATCTGTGAAATCGTTCTAATGAAATTGTACTTTTTGAACGATAATTTTATTGTTCATTTATCTTTCTACCTTCAAATGAATTGAAGTCGTACCACCGTCGTAGTTTTCTCATGTTTCTATAAAGAAATTTCAATGTACAAGAAATAGAAAATAATACATGGTATGTGGTGTTAATTAGTGTTTAGTCTCTTTGAATCAAGTCTGGGTAGTACCATTATTTTGCTGTAGTTACTGTACAGCTGCAGGTCTCTTGCTGTATGTCTCTACCAGCCTTGGACTCTTTACATTATGGATCAACAGCATTCTGTTTGTATGAAGCAGAAAACTAATTTATTTCTGTTTCCATTGCTACATAAATCTACCACCACTATGTTTCACTGTAAAGATGCTGTTGATAGGTTTTCAGGAAGTCAACATATGGGCGTATCTGACCTATTTTCACCTCCATGTGTGTCCTTTATATTTCCCTTCATATTTAGGCTATTCATTAGTTGGTGTATAAAAAAAATATATCATAACAAAAAGCAGCCAGTTTGTATTCAGTGAAATAATCAAAGTTAAAGGTGTTGCGATAAACTTTCTAGAAGAAGTACAAATCCACCACAAAAAACTTAAATATGCAAAAGTTCAGTGTGATTTATCACTCACTTGAAAATAGCTGAACTTCTATATATGCAACATATATTTAGATATATTTAGCTTTTGTTTCTTGTAATTTTGATAAATAGGGTTTAGAGATCCATCCATCCATCCATCCATCCATCCATCCATCCATCCATCCATCCATCCATCCATCCATCCATCCATCCATTTTCTCCAGCTTAGTCCTGTCAGCGTCACGCTGAGGGCCGGTGACATACAATAATGCACACACTTATACATAAGGAGAATTTGGAGATGCCAATTAACCTATCAGTCATGTTTTTGGACTGTGGGAGGAGGCCAGAGTACCCAGAGAGAACCCACACATGCACAGGGAGAAGATGCAAACTCCATGCAGGGATTCAAACCTGTAACCTTCTTGCTCCAATGCAACAGAGCTGCAAACTGTCTCCATGTGCAGACCTATAATCCATTATTACGGTATGAAATTATGACATTAAGGATTTAAATAGATTGTCAGGAAGCTCTTTGTGAATTTGGAAAAAAACATTTAGATTTTTTGAGTCGTGCGTTTATGTTATTAATGCTATTAGACATGCACATCCCTTGCTCAAAATTGTAAATAGGATAAAAATAAATAATAAGATCAGAAATTGACTGGGGTATTATAAGCTTTTCTTTGAGGTTGTTGGTTTGGGCTATAGGTAATGGTGTTTCATATATCTGAGTGGGTCTCCTCCAGCTCCTATCCTCAGTCATCTGGCTCTGTGTCTGTTAAATATAGCATTTTAATTATGGGTGGTATGGGAATGAGGCCTTTAATGGATGAAAAGGATGGGTTTGGATCTTTGAATGAAAAGATAACAAAATAAAAATGATCTAAACTCGGAGTACCTGTACATTTGTGTTTTAAAGATTACATCTGTGGGAGGCTGCAACTGTAAGCTTTGAATCTAATCAAGGTTACAGTAAAGAGCTGACTAAATGAGAAGAAGAGCTATCATTATTAAAGCTGCAAACTTTATGTTGGTATTCTGAAGAGCATGGATCCTGTTTTTAACTTTGAGATCAGCAAGTCTGATAAATGCTGCATGTTTTGTAGCATGAATAATAGAAAAGAACAGGTTTTGTAAATTGAGCTCAGCCTTACCGTTATCTTTGCAAGCTCTCTTGTTTTTTTTTCTTCAGCCTGAAGGATCTGATGGTTTGTTTTTTTTAAACAAAAAGTTTCCTTTTACATATTTGTCATCCTCTAACTTAATTTTAGATCCAGCAACTGCTAATGCCCAATGGCTTCCTCCATCTTGAACAGAGTTAATGTTGAAGGGTGAGGCTGTCCTTTCAATTCAATTTATTTATATAGCACCAAGTCACAACACACGTCATCTCAAGGCCCTTTACAGTTCACCAGATCATACAGTGAAATTGATTCAAAGTTTTCAATCTAAGGAAAACCAGCTGATTGCATCGACTAATATACTCGAAGACAATTCCTCTCCCTAAGCATGCTTGCAGCGAGAGTGGAGAGGAAAAACTCCCTTTTAACAGGAAGAAACCTCCAGCAGAACCAGGCTCAGTGTGAGCAGCCATCTGCCGAGCCCAACTGGGGTTCAAGGAGACCGAAGCAGACATACAGAAAGAAACAGAGATACAAAAGGCAACTGTAAAAGGTGGCCCTTTTCAGGGAACACACAGCCAGGCTGAAGAGCTTCAAGCTAGCTCCCATGTCAGAGGATAAAGAGAGCACATCCAGCCATTCACAGTCAGCGAAGCAGGACTACTCTGGAAAACAGGCAGGGCTCCAACATCTATAAACAAAGGTGTCAATGGCAGCAGCACTGCTGATATTTTTTCCAGGATGGAGTCACAGCATAACATGAACAGGCGAGGTGAAGCTACTATGAGAAAAAGCAGAGAGAGCATAGTGTTAGAGATTGAACTAGCAAATTCCGGATGAAAAAGGGGTCCCTATGTCCTCCAGCAGTCTAAGCCTGTAGCAGCATAACTATAGAGATAGCTCAGGATAACCTTAATCACTCTAACTACAAGCTTTAACAAAAGGGAAAGTTTTAAGCCTGATCTTAAAAGTAGACAGGATGTCTGCCTCACAAACTAAAACTGGTAGCTGTTTCCACAGGAGAGGAACCAATGGAGTTCCAATGGAGTTTAGTGTTGTTAGCCTGTAGAGCAGGTCACCATGACCTGTAGAGCAGGTCACTTAAGATGGCTTCTTTAATGAAACCAAAACTCTGAGTTGAGAGCTAGCACAGGAAACAGCTAACACCAGTGTGGTAAAACATTTTGTTTATTGATACTTGTGTTAAACAGTTTTTTATTGAGGAATCATATATGAAAATTGAAACATCAACAATACACATTTGTCCTCATTTATTGATACATGTGAAGCTGTGCCTGGAGTTTAAATAGTTGTGAGCCCGCAGACTGGAGCTGTTTTTTGACTGTATTGTATCATCACAAGAGCCGCGGATGATTCTTTAAATCTTACTCTGGCTTGATAGATGCTGAAGTCCACTTCTAGTTCTTCCCTAAAGTATAGTTTTCTATGTATATTGGGTTTGCTGCTGGTGTTTAGGTAACAGATCAGAGAACGAATACTTTTTCACTGTGGTTTTTACGTTTGTATTTTTCCAACTTATGGTCACAGGTCTGAAGCACTTGAGCTAAAAATCATCTTTAATTCCAGTCAGAAATCTGTTTTAAAAAGATCTTTATAGATGATTGTAGATTCTGCTCCTCTCCTAGCGTGATGTTTTCTGTTTTTATTGGTTCTGTTGTTTTTTGTTTTTTTTTCTATGCATTAATTTGAACAGTGTGGTGTATTCATCCCGTAATTTCTCTGGAGCTTCCTCTCAGATGATGAATAAGCTGCAGAGCTCTCGAAGTTGCGATTCAGTCCTAAGTATCCAGAAATAGTCACAGAAGTAATGGTGTAACCCTGTCAGGTGGCGTTATGTAAATGCAAGGTTTCTGCACAGCCTTTTTTTACTGCCTCACACAGGCTGAAGTCCTCACCTCTGAGCTGTGACTGAGTTGGAGGAAGAGAAATGTATTTGTTGATTTTATGCTGCTGTGTTGAAGGAAGCTGTCTGTTAGTTCAATGTACTTACGTTTTATGCTGAGTAAAAGAAAAAGAACAACATAGTTACATGAGGTTTTTATCTAAAGAGCAGCTTTCTATTCTCTGGATCTGCTGCTCCGAAGGACAGCAGCAGTCTTCATCTGTGGAGGAATCCTGATGCTGTCTCTGAGACAGCGAAGACAAAGCAATCGCTGCCTGATTCAGTTAAACGTGACGCAAATTTGCCGTCATTAATTCTCAGCACTGTGTAATTAATCTTGTCACCCAGTTAGCCCATTACGCCTGTCGTTTCCTCCTCTTCATGTCATAACTGGGGGCTTTAGTTCCCGACCTTCTTTTTCCTTCTGGTTTGGAGGAACTATCAGCTGCTGTTCTGTGTTTAGATTCTGCCTCATACTGATCAGAATCATCATCTATTTGCAGACAGATAACAATCGAGGAAGGAGAGCAGAGGGCTAAAGAGCTGAATGTCATGTTCATCGAGACCAGCGCCAAGACGGGTTACAACGTCAAACAGGTGAGAGTTAACCTCGGCCTTTATCGACTCATTCTGGCTGATAAATGAGAAATTATTTAACACCATAATGATTTGATCCTAATTACTAAGGTTTGCTGGTGGCTATTTTAAACCCCCGCCCCCCCAAAGAGACTCCTTAGTGATCAGGACACAGGTTTTTTTTAAAGAGCAGTGTGTCACAGTGAGCTTGTCGCAGGTATTACGCAGATATTTTTGATTTATGCCCAATATTGAAGCGTGGTCTGTGCTATGTTATTCCATGCCACAACACAAAAGGGACAATCACAAACTAGCTGTGGGTCTAGATACGGCCGAGGTGGTGAGGAAGTTGGGGCAAGTTTGTGTGACAACAGAGGGACATGTGGGCGAAAAAGAGCGGGGATCCAGGTGGAAAAAGGGTCCCAGCATTCTCACGCACCTCGCTCTTCTAGCTGGTCCATTTTCATGAGTCCTTTTCAACAATGGCGGTCATACAAACAAAACAAGCCGGTAAGGTATCAAACAAGAAATACGCATAGTGTAGAGTGGATGTAAATTTGACCAATCAGAGGCCTCTTGTCTACGGTCACCAATTTGGAAGAGATGCACCAGAGTGTCTGCAGAAGGGGTGGGGGCATATTTGCATCAACTGCGACACACATGCAGACGAACTGGTTTCTGAGTATAAATCAGCCTTTATGTTGTGGTGGAGAGATTTAACATTCATTCCTCTTTTGGATAAATAGGGATTCAATATAAATGTTAATAAAATTAAGCACCAATAAAGTGGCACGATATATCATGTCAGAGCAAAGTTTCTCATCTGGTTCCTGTAGCCTGATGAATCAAGTCTCCCATCTTATAACACCTTGGAGAAAAGTTAGGAGGAATATAAATAATCAGCAATTAAAATAACAATATACAGAAAACTGTACTGTTTACATGTATCTTCAGAGCAAAGTTTGTTTTTTTAACCTTTTTTTTGTTGTTGGAAACAAAATATGTCTTTGGAAACCTCTTTGGTGTCTGTCGTCTCCAGAAATACTACAAATTAGTGTAATTATCCTGATTCTTTTTTGCTGTTGCTTATTTTTCTGGCACTGAACAGATTAAGTCAATTTAAAGCACTTAGTTTTTCTTTTCCTAACCAGAGAGGATTTTTTTTTATTTCTTTAGTTGAGAGTCTTCAGGTGCAGATGTTTTTAAAACGCTCTGCTTCCTGGATGGTTGAATAGTCTTTCACCGCATCTCCTAAAACCTCCCTGATGTTCTGAGCAGAGCTGAAATCATTCAGAAATATCTCTAAACTCTCTGATACCAACTGTTTAAAACAGACAGCGGCTTCCAGCAGCTTTTTGGCCCGGGTCTGTGAAAGTAGCAAGAGTTTGGCTTCTGTATCCCAGCCTGTTTATTTCCGCTTCCCCTTTGAGGTGGAAACCAGTTTGCTCCCTGATGTGGTCCGACAGCGCATCAAGCATACGCCATTCTCTCCTTCTTAGTCCCTTTTTCTGCTAACTAACCTGCATTCATTACCTAAGTGCTGAAAGGATTTTATTGTATAAAGGAAAAAAGAGCTGGTCTGTTTCTACAGTAAACAAGACAATTTGTGTCTGAATCAGCTGTTGTCTTTAGAGTGAAGAACACAGGCTGTGTTGTCTGTCAGCGAATGGTGTTGATGAAATGTGCCTTGCTCATCCTGCTGCAGCACAGACAGAGGAAACATTTCTTCACCTAAAAAGACTAAAAGCTGAAGCACTGAACCGAACATCACTCTGTGTAGCCAAAACAAAGGTTACAGTCCTGCCTCCGAAGGCAGCAGTGTCTCATTGTTCGGCTGTGTCATCATTCTGCAGCCTGACGCCGTGCCAGACAACTCTAGCCTTCTTAAAATAAAACCTTTCAGAGGGAGGTTAGAAATCCCTTAACCATTCATCCCACATGTTTGAACAAATGTTGATGGAATGAATTTTATTCCATTTGTTTTAGATGCCTTAGACCTCTTGGTCAACAGTGTCTTTCTTCCTCCAGCTGTTTCGCCGCGTGGCTGCTGCTCTCCCAGGGATGGAAAGTATGCAAGAGACGAGCAAAGAAGGAAGTATCCTTTAAACACTAGAGACAGTTGCCTAGAGGTCGGAATGGAAAGCAAACTAGTCCTTTCTTTTTATTTTCAAACCCGACCTGTCTATGTCCCATTTTATTCTGTTGTAAACATTTTTTGTTGTTGTTGCTTTTATATAATAGACCAGGGCAGGGGCAGATCTAGAAAAATATTTATGGGGTGGCGAGAGGGGGGCAGGAATTTTTTAAGGGGTGGCAACATATGGCATTTATTAGCTATCACAGTTTGGTGAGAATAGTATGTACAGTAAGTGTTTCATGTGAAACAGTTCATATTAGAAATACATCGTACAATGTGATCTCACTTAATAGGAGATAGAAGAATGATTACACTACTTCTAGAGGGGCATTATCACAAGAAAGGTATTAAGGTAAGACACAGGTGCTGAGTCGCAGATGTGATTGACTGTCAGAGAGGCAGCTTTGCAGCATTTGCACAAGAAGAAACTATAGAAAGAAAAACTTACCCATCAGAGATCTATGGACTGAGCTGGAATAAAGTCAGCAGAACTACACAGTAGAAATAAATGGGTCAAGGCACCCGAACAAGGTACCGGACATCCATGTACTCTGAACACACATTTACCCCATTTTTTCCTCAGGAACTTGGCATACAGCAGTTATGGCAACATGAAAAGGACATTTCATGCATGTAAATATGCTGTAGATAGAGCTGTTGTATCAACAAATCAACAAAAAGGCAGGTACTGTATGTTACATCAAAATCTCCACAAATCTGAAAAGAAGCAATATAAAAAAATTCATTTTGCTTCCAGTCTGAAAAAGTACAAAACATTTTGTGAGTAGGTTCATACGGGTCATTTCTGGATAGTTTCATACTATGTATACAAAAAAAGAAACAACGCTGCTTCATATTAAGCAGGATTTACACCAGTATTACATTTTTAACTTTACTTTTAACACTTTTGGTTTTATAAAGGAAATATCAGATTTTCTCAGGTGCCAAAACAAAATGTAACATCTCTGTAAAGGCTTACCAGAGAGCATAACATAAAGTTGACATGACTATAACAGCTGAATGCGGTGATTTCCATGTTGCTCAGCAAAATGCTTCACAAATTTATTTAGATCCAATGCCTTTGTGCGTTGGGGATTTGAGTACAACCAAACTTGATAGTCTCTTTTCTGTCTTAGTTGACCGCAAATATGTCTTTATGAGGCTGAGACGTCAGGCCTAACTAACATCATAGTTAGAGAAATAACGTTCTGCAACCTGATTTTTATCATCTCAAAATCAGCATTGCAGCTATGCTAGCAACATTGTGCTTTCATTATGATTTCATTTCTCGATAGATAGTTAAACAGTTTTTACCTGTTTCATCCCGTGTCTCCTCTCCCCATGACTCCTGGCTCCCTCGCTTTGCCCCACTCGGTTTTCAAAACAATCAGTCTCAGTCGCTCTTGCGTCATCTCGTGCTGCATTCACTGCAGTCCGACATTGGAAATTAGTGGTCGTAATTCTCAAATTTTACATAATTTATAAGCCTCGCCACCCGTGCCGCTAACTAGGGTGGCAGCAGGGGTGGCAAGGCTTTCATTTAGGGAGGCATTTGCCACCCTATGCCACCCCAGTAGATCTGCCTATGTACCAGAGGTAACCAATTAGAAATCAGCGGGGTCCAAATAAAGAAAATTATCATCCAGTAAAGGTCCGGAGACATTTTTAATTATAATCTGTTGCTTTAAACAGAATTTAACACTGAAATAAAGTGAGGTGTTTACACATCCATGTTATACATTGAATTTTTTAATAAAAAAAGAAAATGTTTCCATTTTAAAATATAAAGAGTTTTCTGAAGTAGAGAACAACAATCCTTCACTTTGGTATGTAGACAATTTCCTGACTCACATTTTTCATAAAACACCTGAACTGACCGTTTGTTGTTTTTTTCTTTCTTTTTTCTGTCTTAATGAGAGCAGTGGGCTTTAGGCTGCCCTACAAGGCTTTAAACCTGGGTTTAAATGGCGACCTAGCCATTCTAAAGCACATATCAAGGTGCTCATTTTAAGCCTGGATCCATATTTATTTTTTGATTATGTTCATGGTGGAGAATCCTGCTTCACAGCAGCAGGTTGAGCCAAACATACTCAAAATGTGCCGGGTCATCTTTTCACCATCTTTCTCTGCTATCTTTTTCTCATCGTCTTTTCCTTCTTTCCCATCGCCCATCTTGCCACATGTTTGCCTGCTGTTTCTAAAAGTAGCAGCAGCAGCAATCCAGACTGACAGCAGCTCATTGGCTAATTTATATAATGTGCAACCATATTAACAGGAGAAGCGGCGCAATGAAGTTAGACACTCTCATCAGACATCATAAACTAATTCATAAATATTTTAAATCAGGTTTGGTCCGGATAACCCAGGAGGTGGGTCTGGATCCGGACCGCGGTCCGCTAATCCGTGACCTCTGTGATAGACCAACAAAAATTACCAAAAAACCGTAAGATGAAAGGAAGAAGGTCTTATTTTATCCACAGACAGTAATCTGAATTGTTTTGATTAAGGTGTAAACTTTGATTAGACCATGAATGTGCTTGTGGGTATTTTGCTCCCTTAAATGTATGTATCCCTTGAATCTGCACTAGACTTGCTGCAGAGAGGCATTCTCACAGCATGCTGCTGCCACCACCTTGTTTTACTGTGGGGATGTAAACATTTTTTAGTTTGGAGCTCATCTAGTCTTCCTTTTGAAGGCCTAAAGGTTAACCTTCCATCTTTGACTAGAGCATCTGCTTCCACCTTTTTGCTGTGGAGGTGGGTAAAGTCTCCAAAACTTATGCTCAAGTAAAAGTAAGAAATAAGATACCCAGAAGAATTAGTCAAGATAGAGTAAAAACATATTTTTACTCAACTTCTGAGTAAAAGCAAATTATATTTAAAAGGATAAAGACAGAAATATGAAGTTATGTACAACATATTTAAAAGACTAAATAAAAAATTGATACAATAATAAAATAGCTAATTCAGACAGAACAAACCTCTGAAAATGAATTATCAGAGTAAAAATGGAGGAGCAAAAAGTGAGAAATTTACTTTAAAATGAATCGTTTTCATTTGTCTGTCAGGATGGAAGTAACATTTCTTATAAATAATCGGTCCTCTCATTATCAACGATTGCAGTCTTTCCCCTTTCAAACCTAGAGGTACGGCGCACAACTACTTTGGTAAAATGTGTAGTTTACTTCCTGGTTCCTGAGCCAATCATAGGAGAGTTCCCAGGGTTGCTAAAACAGAACAAAAGGATCAGCTGTCTTCAAACATGGCAGTTAGAAAGATAAGTGAAACAGAATCATCTGAACAAAACCTTTGAAACTTCCTGTGGCTGAATCATCTTTTCTTGTTATCTTGGATTTAGCTATCTCGACTTAGTAAACCCTGTATTGTTCCAACTTGAAACGCTCAGTTTCATTGTTACATAATGCATAACCAGTAAGTTAGAACAGCGCAAATGAAATATCCACTTTTAACTGTATGTTTATCTTATCTCTAAATAGCTTCATAACTTACAAAATATAACTTCTGTACACTCAAGAAATAAATAGTGTGTCTGTCTGGTACATTTATGGTTAAAAAAACTCTCTAATTATTGTATAGAAGTTAATGAAGGTGATTAGAGTGGCCAGAAAATATAGCCAAATAAGCATAGTAATACTTCTTGATGACATTACTAAAGAAAAAGAAAATAGTACAGTGCTGTAAACCTTCTCCTTAAAGTACATTTTGTTAAAAAAGTTACTCAATTGAGTGTAACTTAGTAATTATAACTAGTTACTAGTCAAATCTGCCTGTATCATTCCAGTGTCCTGTGGTTTTTCTCTTCCATTAAAACGATTTGGTAAAACAACTACTATAATACTGAGTAAATTATCTTATCATTTGATATGTTATTTAAAAGATATTTAATTTAAAAAACAACATAACAATGTGACAAATTCTAGTATAAAGAGCAAAATAGAAACTATACAAAATAACTTATTCGTTATACAGAAGAAACTTTTTTCTTCATATTTTTCTTTTAAATAAAAACCAATATTTACAGGAGGTCATCTATATTTGTTACTGCATACTTGATCTCCAAATGGCTCATCGATTGAAAATAACAGAAAAAAAAATGGCTGTTCATGCAACATTTCTCATTTTTAACATAAATGTACGTGTATTTGATCCATTTCTGGTTAAAACTAGTCGGTTTAAAACAAAAAATTGGTTTTCAAGTTTCAAGTATCACTATCGTAATGGATATAATTCATTTTTAAATCCTTTGATTAGATTATTTTGGGGGGAATTAATAAATTATTATAAAAATAAATTAACATATTACCTAATTAACAATAAATAGATTAGTCTTTACTTTATGCCTACCTTGAGCCGACCCAAACGTGGGCGCCATCCCAGCAGGTCTGTACCCTGTATAATAACCAGTCCAGTCATGCAGGTGGACTCTGTTTACCTGTTCTGAGACTGCTAAGGGGAATTGGTGACACTGGATTTTATTTGGGATAGCAGAGTATTATTTGCTTGCATTAAAACTCATGCATCCCTTTTATTTCCCTTTATTTACTTGTATTACATATATTTGTGATGCTCTACAATGTTAAAAAGAATATATTAAGGCTTATGATTGTAAGGAAATAAATCTGAAAAGCTTCAGGAGTTTAAATACCATAACGAAGCACCGTCGATGACCTGACAGACTGGGATATGCTGGCTGCTGTCTGTTTAATGATATGCCAGCCACCTGTCTAATGAAACGCCTTGTTAGGAAAAACCCTCCTGTTAGCTGTCAGCTCTGAGGTCTAACATGTTAGACTGTTTGCGCACTCTGCCGCAGGCGAGCAGGTTTGGCCATTTAAACCAGAGTCTGTCCTATAAACAAAACCTTTGTTACTTCGATGGACGAAGTCTGAACATGTCCTGTTCGGGTGCAGAATACCCAAAGCTAAACTAACTCTGCT